CTTGAGGGTAAATGAGTAACAAGAGAAAAACAAAGTTATAATTCCTCCCTCAGTCTGTCCAATCTTCTGCTTACACTACAACGGATATTCTTTATATAGTTAGCATACTACTTGGGAAATATCATCTGATTACTACAGCAAAGGCCTGGCTCAACCCACCTTCAGCCTCTTCAAACACATAGAGCACTTTCTCAGGCTCAGGACTCTCATGTCCACTACCAATTACTTCAGAGATCATGAAAACGGGCTGAGACTGCTAAATGTTTTAGAGTTTGAGTGGGGAAGAATGTATTATGAATAGAAAGACAACTCCATCTGACTTAGGCCTTACAAATATTACCCAGAAAAAGTACAAATCTTTCAGAAAAGTACATAAAATTCAAATAATTCAGAATTAATATGAAGAAAAATATTACCTCCCCACTGATTTAAATGGTCCCAGTCATTTACAACTACCATTTCCGTCTGCCCATCTACAAGTACACATGGTCAGAAGAATACAAATTCTTGCAATATGCTGGGAATGGTGGTGCACACCTCTAATTTCAGCACTCAGGAGGCAGAGGCAGGCAGATCTCTGTGAATTCATGGCCAGCCTGGTCTACATAGTGAGTTTCAGGACAGCTGGGGCTACAGGGAGACCCTGTCTCAAAAAGACCCCCCCAAAAAAAACCCCACAAATTCTTGCAGTAACAATGTAATAAATGGTCCCTTGCTTACAATCCAGCCCAGCTGACTAGCTAACATATTCGGAAAGGAGAGCTATTGAAAGCACTCTGGGGGATAAACTCAATCTGCATTTATTTTTAACATGAAGTTAGAGATTATTTCATGATCTAAAAGAAAAAAATTCATCCATTAAGCAAATGTTTACTGGGTACCCCAGTTCACGTAGGCATTTAGTAAATACAGCATAGAATGTTACTTAAAAGCAGTAAATACAGTTTACCTCATGAACAAATAACTGATTCTATTTAGAAAATTTGGTTCACTGAGCAAACTAATCTTCTTTAAATGTAGACTGGGAAAAATATACAAAATAACCCATCACTCCATCAAGGTGATTACCACTGACAAATATCCAATCAGCACCTCATCCTACTAAGAGGATCTTTTAAAAATAAGATAAAAATAAAGGGGTTATCTTCAATACCCTTCCAATTACAGATCAATCCAATTATTTAAGCTATACTTATTTTTCTTGAATGTAATATTATGAGGATAAAAATGTAATGGAAACTTAAAGAGGCTCTCTCAACTCTGAAGGATTAATCAGGGAAAAATTCTCTTACCTTCCCTATTAAAATAGCTCTAATTCAACTGGCTACTTAACCTAAACCCCTTAAATCCAAATGCTTGGCTTTCCTTAGTTATTAAAATAGCTGTGGTTAGGGCATTTTTTAAAAAAGCAATTCGTGTTTTATCACTGTCTTTTGTCACTGGTTAAACTCTTCACTTACAAAAATAAGATGTGCCCAAGTCTCCAGCTTCTGAAAATCCTCTATATGCACATAACAAAAAGTTTGAGCAAATGCATCAGTTTTCATTTAAAATTTTTTATTTAAAACTAGAATGCCTTTAGCAACAATTAGGTATTGTCAGCTTTTACCTTATTAGGAGATTGCTATTTTCAACATTTACCTTAAACCACTACACAGATTTATCTTCTAACCAGTCAGCTTCCTGTCCCTCCTCCAACTAGATTAGATTATAACTTTTTTGAGAGCAAGGGACTTCTAGATCCCATGACCTGTTTTTCAGCTAATGCACTTTAAAGCTCCAAAAGCATAACTATTGCCAGCTTTAAGAATCTCTCTAATTTTGTAATTCAAGTTTGATAAGAGCAGATGTCCTTAACCATTATGCCACTGAGTTCTCAAAGTGTGATCTTGAACACCAAGAATTCAGGGGTCCTTTCTGAGGAGATCCAGAGTGTCAAAGGTATTTTCATGAATAAAATTAAGATATTATTACAATTGTTCACTCTCAATCGCTAAAGAGTATGCAGAGTTTTCCAGATAACAGTCTCTCAAGAGATTGAATGCAGACACAGATTTGAGAATCCATAAGTCTTCCAATAAGATAAACAGTTGCAAAAACTTAAATTTAGCATAAACTGTCATTTATGTTTAAAAAAAAAGGTATTGGATCTATTATTGTTACTTGTAATTAAAATCAGTAAATACATATTTAAAGTTTTTGCATCAATTTCTAATATAGTGATATCAGTAAATATAAGCCACACAACTACTCTGGGTTCTCAAAAATTTTAAGATGAGAAAGGGGTCCTAAGAACAAAGTGTATGAAACTCTGTAGTATACAATTGTATAACCTAACACACAGGGCTAAGACACGGCTAAAAGCTCAAGTCAATTCTGAAGTGTAATTACTCCTTACTCCCTCCCCAATCTTGTTGAATTGTCTATCTCCTTGTAAAACACAGTTCATCATAAAGTCAATCTGTTCTGGGCTCCATTTAATGGAGCTTTGGACATTTAATTTTCAGAATCCTGTTTATAAAAATATTCTGGCCTATAATGCCATGAGTTACTTGGATGCCATATAGCAGTTTCTCAAACTTAAAAAAACAAACAAACAAACAAACAAACAAAAACCCACTTTGTTTATTCTAACAGAAACTTGTGAAGTAAATGCAAAGCATTACTCTTTTTCCAGATGACATAATGAAACTAACACTCAAAGGAAACAGACAGAAGTGGCTGTCCAAGGATGTGCTGCTCCCTAGCAGAGTCTAAGCTGTTGGCCTTTTGCAAACTGCTTGGCTGGTCTCACTAGGGTATTATTGCAAGCTCCCAAAGAAAATAAGGCAGGGGCATTACTTTTATTGTCCAAGTGCCAAAACAAAGATTTTCTCCCTCCTTAATAAGAGCATAATCAGACTCAATACCAGTCACAGCATTTATTTAACACATTGGCTACACTTTTGATCACCTACAAAAAAAGAAAGAAAAAAAAAATCAAGGGTGTTGGAGGGAAAAAAAAAAAAAAAAGGCTACATAACACTCCAAGAGGATGCATTAGTTAAGGGCTCACAAATTTACCAATCATTTAATTACTGAAACAACAGGCAGGCAAGATAAAAATCAAGCTCAATGCAATAACATTTGACTACACCAAAGAATGGCTGCCAACAGGTTAAAATGGGAGGTCCAGATGAAATGAGTTCAAGTCACAATGCTTAAACAGAAGGAAAAAAAAAAAAACCCACAGAGTTGTGAAACTAGTTTTATTGGTCCTACAAATCCAAGTGACTAGACCTACCCTTACAAAGCAGTAACAGGCAAATGGCTGTTGCAAGCTGCAAAGATGTCACCCTATCCTTTGCTGGGAAATCACCCTCCCTTAGGGCTAAACATACTAGTTTGTTCTTGCTATCAGCACCAGCTGGAGTTATGCTCCATTTTCACTGACTGAATTCATCAAAAGGCTTCACTTTCTGCATCTCTATTCCACAGTCAAGTAGACTCCTTAACAGATGCAAGACTGACTGAACAGGACATCTGCCACTTGCATAATTCTTCACGTTTCATTTTGTTTTTTTCTTTTTGGTACATGTACCCAGTGAACCCATTAAGTTTGATGTGACTTTATGTAGAAAGTCAGGCATGCACTGATGCATCCACCTGTATATCCCTGTAGTTTACTGCAGCTGAACAAGAGGAACTGCCCCATTCCTGTGAGACATGTCTTTTCTGACTTCATTTTGGTTATTATTTTTTTCTTCCAAATCGCTCTTGAAAAAAAGTAGTTAGAGCACCAGAGCTCTTGCTAACATACCACTGGTCATGTATGATATACCTTTAGTTGTTATTGTTCCATACTCAAGACCACACCGTTAAAGATGGGTAAGGGCTCATTCACTCAAGTTTCTGCTTTTCCACAAAAGAATTGCAATACTGGCCCAGTATAAAAGCCAGTGCATATAATCCCAGTACTCTTAAGCTGAGACAGAAGAATCACAAATTCTAGAACAGCCTGGGGCAGGAAGAAAGACAAAAAAAGAAAGAGACCAAGTCTCACAAACCGAAACAATTACAATACTGCCCTGTGAAACCAATTAACTAGTTAATTTTTAAAGACTTCATGCAGAAAAAAACACCTAACTTTACAAAGCAAAGCATCAAGTCTTCGAGCTCGAGAAAACTGCAGTTATTTCTATATCTTACTCTGAAATACAGCTATTTGGCTTCAAAAACGTATCGCCTTTTAAGAACTGTCAAAAGTATTAATTAAAGCAGTCTCTCAACTACCTTCCCAGCTCCAAGCAAAGTCACGGTGAAAAATATCACATAGCTCTATCGTACCGACGTCCTTCAGTATTTCTTCAGATGAACTTGATTTCTGGTGTACACAGCTCACATCTTATACTACAGCCCAAGTTACCAGTGATGACCTTAAAGCTCATAAACAAAGACTAGCGGCAGCATCAGGGCCATACCAGGAAGTAATAAAAGCAGGATGGCCAGTGCGATGGTAAGTCAGAACAGACAATGAGAGGGCACTAGGGCTTCCAAGGTGGCCCGAAGGAGTTCACATAAAACCCTTAAGTAACTTGATCAAAAGCATTACATAAACCTAGTAAGTGTCTTACACTCACGAACTAGGGAATATCCAACGCAATTCCGAACAACCCAAAAAGATAGTCTTCGAAAAGCAACGACTCCAGTCGCCCCTCCAAAGCAGCTGTTGGCTGGATTCTCCCGAGGTTTGGGAGCCCCGCAGCCTGTTTTCAAACTTCGCCCTCCCAGACTTGAGGAAAGGCTCCCAAGCTCAGTCGCCCAAGCTGTCTCCTCAGGGGCTGCAAGGTTGCTGGAGCCTGTGGGAAAAGCCGGGAAGACGCAGCCGGCCGGCGCAGGGAGGCAGCGAAGGGGCCCGCGCTCCCCGCAGCTCAAACAAAGCTGTGCCAGAGAGTGGCGCTTTTCCTGTCCGGCCCACGGAGGAACGCGAACCCGGCCCCGCCACACGTGCGGCCGCCTACCCAGTCGGCTCCCGCGTTCCCCGCCCTGGGCGCCTCAGGATGCGGGCCGCCATGCCAACCCGCCGCGGGGCGCTCGCCCCAGGCCACCGCGGGCCTCTGCTCAGCGTCCCGGCCGTCGGGCCGCAGGAAACAAAGGAGCGGGCGCCTCTCCCGCCCGCGCCGGCTTCGCCGCGTCTCCTCGCCCAGCGCGCCAGGTCCGCTCGCCTTCACTTTGCCTGGAGTCCGGGCACCGGCCGCCCGCAGCCCTTCGACGGCAAGGCCCAGGTCACAGCCGGGGCCTCGGGTACGCGACCGACCGACCGGCCCCGGGGCTGCACTCACCGCTGCAGCACCAGGACGACGGAGAGCCGTTGGGGAACTTGGTTGAGTCCGGAGCGATGCAGACGCTGGAGCTGAGGTGTGGACACTCCATGGCCAAGAGGATGGCGGCAGCGACGACCAAGGCTGCGGGGTGGAGGGGCTCCGCAGGCTCCGTCTGGGGTCGCGCGCTTGGCGGACGGCAGCTGCTACGTCCGGAGCCTTCGCGTCAAAGAAAGCAAGGGCTTCCGGGCGCCGGGTTTTGCAGCCCGCCGACTCCCCGGGCTCCCGTCCGGAGAACGTGGAAATCCGGACTCCGCGTTCTGCGGCCATCTGGAGACTGGCGACTTCCGCCTTCCCAGAGCGGCCCCGCCCCAGCCCGGATGGCCCCTCCCCCAGAACAGGTCCGCCCCGCCCCCGAGCTCTCTGGAGCAGGGCCCCGGCTGCGCACTTGCTGCCGGTGCTGAGTTCCTCCGCTTTGGAACGTGACTTTCCCCAACTCCGGCTACTCCAGGCGGCGTCGACTTCCCCATGACCCGGGTGGTGGGTACCCAGCTAGGGCGGACCGATCGGGACCGCTGCGATTTCTGCAGTGTGTGGAAGTCTGACTGGATGCTTCGAGGTAGAAACGTGACCACCATGCAAAGTGTGCAGATGAAAACCACTCTGGCAGATGGGTATCGAAGTCCCATTTTACAAAGGAAGAAACAGGCTCGGGGGACGTTGAGGGCGTGGCCCTTGGTGGCACAGAGGTCTGCAAAGGGTCCCAGAGCAGTCCTGGCTTCGTGTTCTTCCAGCCTCAGGTGTGGTCCGGAACCGTTCTGAGTTCTGAACTCTGGGTTCTGGACTCCGGCCTGAGTGCGTCACCTGAAGGCTGTATGGCTGGGCACGCAGGGGCGCCTGGGTACCAGGGTTCAAGCCCTGCCATTGTGACTCTGTTACCGCCTGCATACCTATGTCACCTCGGGAAGTTGAATAAAATAACTATCCGGTTTACTGAGCAAGGTCCCAGTTACCAGGTGATTTTTAAAGCAAGGAATGTAACATTTGTTAGACACCCATTACTGTCTCCCAGACTGGCACTTTCCCTACAATACCCCACGTAAGCCAGCTGCTGCTTCTATCCCCATTTTATCGCCAGTGACGAATGTATAATTTGCTGATCCCATATCTCTTTTTTTTTATTTTTAGAAAGAGGTGGAGGGTAGAGGGCCCGAGACCTCACTGTGTCACGCCCTTGGGTACATCCAGAGCTATTACCAACATTGCCTTGAAGTTGGGACTTCTTGTAAAACCCGAGGAAGGAGCAGCATGGCAGATAGCGAGCAAGAGCAGGGGTTAGTCCAACGTTGTCCTTAGGGCAGGACTGAAGGAGGAAGAAAAGGTCAGGAAATGATTGACCAGGCAGGACCCAGTAGTGGTTATTTAGCACAGGGCACCTCCCGAAGCGCAATACTAAAGCACCCCCTTAGCCACTTCTCACTGCTCCCTACTTCACCCCACAACCTTCTGCCCATAGTAGATTTTAGATTCCTCAGTCAAAGTTCATCTGTCACTTTCCAAGTTCTATTTGACTATTGTTAAAGCAAGGCTTGGACCATTATGACAGTGAGGAGTTGTGGAAAGCGAGCTGTTTAGAAGTTATACAAAGGTGTGTCTTAGTTCTGCCGCTTACTTGGTGGTCAATCTTAGCAAGTGTTTTTAGGCTCCCCAAGCCTTTTTCATCATCTATACACTGGAAAGATAATACTTTCTAGAGATGTGCGAATTCCAATCATGTAGTAATTACCAGATAAAGGGTTTTTTTTGTTTTTTTTAAAAAATATTTTATTATTTTTATTTTATGTGTATGAGCGTATTGCCTGCATGCATGTGAGTGCACCCAGGTCGTGCAATGCCGGGGAGGTCAGAAGAGGGCTTCGGATTTGGTTTTTTAACAGCAAGTAAGGCTGCTTCCTTAGGAAGAGAGAGAAGAATAAATAGTATCTGACGCTTGTTTAAGCTCTTCTACCTGTTTGTTTTTAAAGGTCTGACTCAACCAAGTTTCTCTGTTTCATTCTGAACACCTGCCCTTATCCACAATCCACAGCCCCTAATTTAGCATGGAGCATGCGTTCATTCGTGCTTCTTTTAGACTAGTGTGCAATACTTTTTTTTTCAACCTCTCAGAAACGGTTGCCTAATTCCCTAGATCTCAGTTTAAACATCTATTTCTCCTAAAGGCCTTTCCTGACCCTGCTCCACTCCCAGGTTACCTCCTAGGGTGTGATGCCCTTGACTGCCCCTACAGTGACTTTTAAAAACACTTTGTGTATTTGTTTAATGTCTGTCTTATTTGTTTAATGTCTGTCTTTGCCTTGGAGATCCATAAGGGTACCAAACAAGTCTGTCTGGTTTCCTGCTTTATTTCTCCCAAAATATGTGGATCCTGAAGGGTGTCCAGTAAATAAGTATTCAATGGATGAATGACGGAAGACAGGAGCTTAAGAAGTGGTCCCAATATAGATATCCCCCACCCCGGAAATGATCTCTAAATTATCATTCATTCAGATTTTATCATTCATTCAGATTTTTGAAGGATTGTGATAAGTGCCTTGTAAAGCGTAAACTGCCCACCGGGGCTTTCTCTAGCAACCCTAAAACTGTCCTTGAAAGTTTTCACAGGGAGGAAAAAAAACCCAGCAGTGAGTAAATATGTCAAACTCCAAACTCCGAAAGACCATAGGCACAAGGCATACTGAGAAATCTGCCTTTTCAAGTCTCTGGCTTCCGCAGCTACATTTAATACAACGTTAGCTTTTTCTTCTTGGCAAGCATCCCTGCGGCACCGAAAGCTCCAGTTTACATACCAGTGCGCCCTGAGGGTGATACATCAGCCTCCAGCTCCCCAAGTTCTGCCGCCAGGGGCTGCCGGGATTCCCTAGCCACAGCCTGGAAAGGAGCTTGGCGGCGGCGGTGGGGGAGGGGGCGGGGTTCCAGCTTAAAACCTAGCCTGCTTTAAAAGTGTGCGTTTTGCGCAGAGAAGCAATGCACAATCTCAAGTACTATCTATCTTCTAAAGAGTGTATAAATACGCATTGGTGTGGAGAAAATGAGGAAAAGGAGAGGTTCTACCATTGCATGGAAGCCGTGGTCGGGAAAAGGTATCTAGATTGCAGTAACCTTCCTAAAACTTTTAAAACTTTAGATTTATCACTTTTAAAATTTTTTTTTATTTTATGTGTATTGCTGCTCATGTGGAAAGTACTCCCGTATCTGCAATGCAGCAGAGGTCAGAAGAAGGTGTAGGACATCCCCTGGAACAGGAGTTACAGATGGTTGTTAGCCACCATCTGTGGGTGCTAGGAATCCAACCTGGGTCCTCTGCAAGAGCAGTCAGTGCTTTTAACCGCTGAGCTATCTCTCCAGCCCTGATTTATCACTTCTGGAAGAATCCATGACCTTACTGAGGAAAACTATGTCTGATTATCCCCACTTAGGTAAGGCTCCCTAGAAACCCACAGCATTTATTATACCTTTAGCAATTTCTAGGGGCAAAACCTCCTTGGGAAACCAAAGTTAGACCAAGAGGAGGCTTGTAGATGTTTTAAAGTTAGGGGAGAACAACCTCCAGAGGACTCTTCCCTCATTTCCTATGTCCTTGTTTGTTTATCTGAAATCCATCCCCCACTTTGAGAACACAGACCTTGCCAGTGCTATGTGTTGCCTGATTCCTAGTTCTTGGAATACAGCCTGGTACACAGCAGACCCTCTGTGACTATTTGTTAAATGAATTTAAAAAAAAAAAAAAAAACGGCAACAAGGAGTATAGCCCAACGATAGAATCTTCATGAGCAAGGCCCTGGGTTCAATCCCCTGCATCCCCAATAAATACAGTGGGATGGGTGGATATGGGTTCTAGTTAGCCTACCCTCATTTTAACACTTAGGAATACTGATGAGGTCATTTTAACTTCTTTCTATTCATCCCTTTTGCATCATCTCCTCCGCTCAAAATTCTTCCCCATGTCTGGTGGAAGAAAATTCTAAACCCTTTGTTGTCACAGTCAACTATCCTCTCTTTTGCATCAGCTTTTTTTCTCTCTAAATTCTTCCATCAGTGCCTAAAATAGTTCCCTCATTAGACAAAATGTGTTTCCTTACTCCTACGTCCTTCCCCATCTCACCCTACTCCTACGTCCTTCCCCATCTCACCCCTTTCTTCCTGCTAGCTCTTCCTCCCCACCCCTCACCTCCAGGTAGCCCAAAGACTTCTCAGGGCCGCCCTCCATCACTCACCCAAAGCAACTCACTTCCAATCTCACACACACCACCACCACCACCCCATTCTGTCCCCACAGCTTGTCACACAGTACTGTTATTTTTCTGTTCACAGTTTGGTCTCCCTGGGGATCAAATATGCTTATTTGCATCTGTGGATTCTTGGTACCAAGTTAGCAATAACAGACATTAAAAATGATTATATTTGCTGATTGAATGTTGTTGGTACTGTCCCTTTTGAGAATGATTACATAAGCAGTTACATGTACTGGTCCCATAGGTATTTGGAGAAAGGACCTGGACCAGTTAAGAACAGAAACCTGTATTTATTGAGTCCTAAGTAGGTGCTAGATACTATGTGAAGTGGTATTTGTTTCTTCTTTAATCATGGGAAGCAAATATTACTATCTCCATTTTTTTTCAAGAGAACTAAAACTTAAAGGCTAAATAATTGCACAAATTTACACAATTAATAATTGTTCTTTTATCAAAGGAGGCAAAGTTTCACCCCCTCCTACACATGGTCCTCTAAATAATTTTGCAGTATTGTATGGAAACCTGAATTTCCTCGTGATTAAGAACCACAGGAGCCTTTTGAGTAACGGGAATCACTCATGCTCAGAGCCAGTATCATAATTATCTATCATCCAAATCCTAGTTTCTATTGCTGTTACTTACTTAGACAGAGGCTCACTATGTACAGGCTGGTCTTGAATTCTTGAGATCCTCTGACCTCAG